AAATGAGTGTCTTTATGTGGCTAATTTCTTCATTTATGTGTTCAGTTGAAATGTATTTTGAGATTACTAAACCGTTTCAATTTCTTAAACTTGACAGGTCAAATGTCCCTAATATAGCGTCGGAGAATCTTGAAAATCATGTAAACAGCGAACACACTAAGCTCTATTTGTTTGATGTTGTTTTCATAGTGCAAAGCTTAACAATGTACTGTATGCATTTTATTTCTTTTTGGGATCGATCCCCGTATTTTAGCGTTTAATTTTTTGTTTTGAATTTCCGTGCAAAACAACTCGAGGGTTATCTGCTCCAACTGCCCCTAATTATGAGTGATAGGATAGAAGGAAGGCAGCTGGTCAGTACCACCCACCGCTAACTTTTGGGCTACTCTTTATCAACGAACAGTGGGATTGAACGTCACATAATAATGCCAGCACGGCTGAAAGGGCGAGCATGTTCAGCGAAGGGTTTCGATATCGTGACTCACAGAATGCGATTCAAGCGCCCAATCCACCAGGCCAAGCCCTAAGTTAAGATTTGTTAATTAAATCGAAATATCAAACAATATTTATTGGTTTTTTCGATGGCGATAATGATTTGAGAACAGGTTACTATGAAAGTACTTACTGAAAGGATATACATCTTGAATTTGACACTTTCTATTCTCCACCATAAAAGGATTGGTTTTGAATTTCGCATTTTAACTGTTTAACAACAGACTAACAGCTCACCCTCTCAATGTTTTTCAACAGCCTCTTTCTTTTGTGAGGCCTGGTTGGTGGTGATGACTAGCTAGCTGCCTTCCCTCTAGTCTTTCACTGCTAATTTAGGGACAGCTATCGCAGATAGCTCTCGTGTAACTTTGTGGTGGTGATGATTAGCTGCCTTCCCTGTAGTCTTACACTGCTAAATTAGGGACGGCTAGCGCAGATAGCTCTCGTGTAACTTTGGTATAAAAATGGTGAAGACGAAACTAAATGTGCATTAAAAGCTGCTGGTTAACTTATCTCTGGAGAAATCGTTGAATAAACAAAACCCTGTGTATTGTATAAATAAAAAATATATCATCATGAGAAATTTAAAATAAATAAAATTCAAAATCAAAGTAGAATTCATACAGCAAACTCTTTGGAGAAACATTCGGTTCAGCTAAAACATTCATTCAATAAAAACGGGCAAAGCTGTTTTTTTTTGTAGCTTACATTGGGCAAACCATCTTGTTATTGGAGCCCCAACAGCTGAAAGAAAAAATACATACAAATAATAAATTCAATATCTTTTATCTGATGATTCATTAAACACAATTCATCAAATTAATAAATCTTTATAGAAACTCGTATATTTCATAGACTTTTTAGAACCTTGGTATATCATTAACCTCCATAACACCGTTACACATGTGTATATATTGATAATTTATTATCCCACATTAGAAGAGTATTTTCCCACTACTTATATATAGAAGCAACAAAGCCTGAAATTCGTTGAAGTTTCTCTTCTGTTATCCATGATTGGCTTTTAATTGTCATCTTCCTACATGTAAAATCTTAGATTCTCGAAAGTTCTAGGAAGTACGGATTGAGGTTGTGCTTCATATAAGTTGACTGTATTTGTGTTTCTTCTTGGAGTTAATGCGATGCCTATTTTCAGTAAGAAATATTTCATACCCAAGTATATTTATTAGGTAATATCTTCAGGAGATGGGTTGTGGCTTTGTAGTTACCGTCACAGGCTGCATGTCGAATATCTCAAGATTCGATGCATGACGTCACTGATTATGGTCCGTAATTGCAGCTGGAGTGCGTTGTGAAAGATGATAGTCAATGTCGGTTTTTAGCCGCGGTTGAGCAGCACATAGAACTACTCTGAGTTTTCGTTTGTGTTATTCGAGTACAAACTTTTAGCTCATAGCTCCATCATCTCTTGACCGATTTGAAATCTAATTGCAGTTTTGGACTCGGGGGGTCAAACCTTCCGATTGATGTATTTGACCACACCCAAGGTCTCAGAGCTTAATTCATTCTAATCTTGCCTAAGATAATTTCAATTTGAGGGTAGGCTAGTAGGGATCCTGATGAGTAATAAAATTGAATCAAGCATACGCGCGCCCCACGTTTAGTATTGCTGACGCACAAAGATATAGCTAACAAAAAGAGAAACAAAGGTATCATGGATTAGTTTACTTTAATCCTGCCTAAATGAATTACAAGTGCTGCGGCTATTGAGGATTCCCTCTTTTCTCTTCGTAGATCCAGTCAAAGTACTTGTAGCGGCAGGCACCTCATGCTGGCTGCCTTCCTTCCAGTCAGTTTGCTCAGAATTTGGGACGGCTTATTCTTTAGCACTGTCAAGTGCACATCAGGTGTTGTTCACATTAAAAATTTCAATACCTAAAACCTTCTGAATCTAAATAAAATATTTAGTATAAACTTGCAAGTTATCTTTAAAACAAGGGAAAGATAAATGTAAGTAATATGAACTGAGAAAAAGCCAAATAAGAAATAATTTTAAATCTCATGTTCTCTTATATCGTTTCTAAACTGGTGTTGGTTTTTAAGTGCAAAACTACACAATGGGCTACCTGCACTTTGCCCACTGAGGGGACGCGAACCCCAAATGTTAGCGTTTTAAGCCCGTAAAATTACCAATAACCCATTGGGGTTCTTTTTTAAAGTTACAAAGAGCAAAATCCTGAGATGGGAATTATATATTATTAATTTATAAGAATTATAATAATGCTGAAGGTGGTTATTTTTCTCTAGCATTACATACAGTTAGTGAAATGCCGTCAAATTCGAAAAGGAAATGAGATACAAGGTTTAATTGCGTTGATGATTCACACAATCCCCGGATGTGACCCTGCAGAACCTTATAGTTCTTCTAAATTTAAGTATCTTTATCATGATTTATAATTTATAAATAAAACCATAGAATAAAAGTTAAGAAGAGTGCGTTAATTAGTATGTTTGTTCTTAATAATGAAAACAGAATAATTCTCATTTATCAGCAAATTGTATGAGACTCATCATTGTTAACACACGACATAGGAATGAAAAACGGTTTTGTAGTTTAGAATGATATACCATTGTATTGTATGATATTTGAATTATGGTGCTTTCCCACTGAATTAGGCATGACATTGCCATTTTTGTTAAGTGGGTATTATAACTGTGCATTATGAACTGGAATTCTGTTTTTTGTTAAAGATTTGTTTTGTCTATCGTGTCGGCATGTATTGTGTTTCATAAGGCGGGAGTAACTTACCCCATTTTCATGATCAATATAGCAGTTTTCGTTGTTATATTGTATTTTAAACTTTAAAGTTAGGATGGCCGAGAATAGCCTGAAAATGATGGGAGAAAACATTTGGCACATTTAGTGTTTCCTGTCTTCTTTGGTTTTAGTAAGATGAGCATTTCATGTTTATCTAAAATATTCAAAATTATTTATGCATACAAGTTTTTAGCCATGTTTTTAGCTGTGACAATAGAATGTTGGTCAATGATTTTGGATTTTGGATGAATTCCTTTCACTCTAGCTACTTATTATTCTGGGTTATTCCTTCTGGTGTCACATGCACTTTCTCTTGGGACAGATTGCTGTATAGTGGAACACATAATGTACAAGAGGACAGTAATTTCTTCTACTGGTACGTCAGGTGATGCTTTGAGGTCGTATTCTCTTATTTGCTTATAAGAATGACTAACAGTAATATTGGTAACGCATGCGCGCTAAGAGGGATGGTATTAGGAATACTCTATATAATGTTGTGCTCTCTTAATTTGATACAGAATACAGAATTTAATACATTAACTTAGATTCAGGTCTAGAGCCAATGTAAGCTTTGCCCTTTGCACTCATTTACCTTAGATTATTTTTTGTTACTCACGAATACTTTTTACTTTCTTTGTACATTTTGTCAGGTGCTTTTGTTCGAACTCGGTCAGAGTCTGATAATTCAGATTCAACTCCAAAATACATATCCTGACTTTTCTCAAGCTTTGCGGTTACTACATCTCGCTAAGTATATCAGTGTACCTGAAAATACCACAATGACAATAAATTTGCAGTCCAATAACACAATTATAATAAGTGTACAATTCCTTTTTTATACTCGGTTTAACAGTAAACCTAAAACCTTTTATTACGAGACAGGTTTAAAGATACTGTTTACAAGATAATTAAAAATTGTTAATTTAATAAGAGGAAATTCCTGTTATCAAATCACTATTGTGGTTCATGATATGGTGTGATACTACTCTGCCCCCCCCCCCCCCCCAGTGGCACAGTAGCATGTCTGCGGACTTAACAACGCTAGAAAACGGGTTTCAATACCCGTGGTGGGCAGAGAACAGATAGCCCATTGTTTAGCTTTGTTACTTGGTTGAGAGTAAGTTTGCAGTCATGGTTTATTGTTAAACCATAAAAATATACATTTCTTATGTATGGTATGGTGATAATATTACAGTCTTCTTGCTGTGACAGATAGGATATTAGTACTGCGATGTATTTACAAATTTCTGTGTTTGCAATATAGAGGTAAGTTTACAGTTGTACTTACGTAGAATCAGAGTAATGTTATACCCTTGCTTGCAATGCTTACCTGATTAATTGAAAAACCAATTTTCAATCCTTATGTACCTGTATAAAAGTAAGCCTAAAGTTCTTGTCTCCATGACTTTCGGTTCTCATTTGTCTGTACAACCTTTTTTCACATAGTATGCAATCCTTGTTACGTTAAAATTGTTCAGTATTACAACTTACACAGCTACATCTTACTGGGATTTTTCAGACAAACGTTGGCCCAATCCTTCTTACTGTTAATCCCTGCCAAGACGTCGGTAACCCTCTCACCCTCAGCAGTGCTCATGCTTCCTCAAAGTGCCCTCAGTTGCTTCGTGTGGTCCATGAAGCTGTCCGTCAGCAGTCAGAGACGGGATACCCCCAGGCCATTATTCTTGGGTAAGCTATAGAAGCTGAATAATTCTTACTAATACGAATTTAAAAGGACTTTTAGCGTATTTTAGTGTGGAATACAAGGCTTCATGTTTGATTTATTTTATATGGGTAGCCATGAATCTTGTCATCGCTATCATATTTACTAGATACATTCTTAAATAACGTGGGGAAAATTCAATGTTCAGACACACCAAAAAGGATTTATACTTTACTAAAAGATTCTTGATAGCGCTATTTTGGTCTGTTTCTAGTTACACTTTAGACTGTGCTAGGGATAGGCTAAAGGCACGCTATTAAAATAAAGTTTTATTTTAATTTACTTTATGATATACACTGTTTCTTGACCATCTTTAGGTGCTTCAAAATAACTTGGCTCGTGGTAATTCTTTCTTTATGTTTTAAGAACCACTATATCCATATCGTTAGTTGTATGCAAGCTATTTAACGAGTTTCTTACATTAAGATGACGATAAAAATATATCGGTTTAAAGTTTTCAAAAGAATGAGTAAATTAACTGATGGATGTATAAGAAACATATTTTGGATCCTGAGAATAAATTAAACGTTAGTCACATGTATAAATCTTTAAGAAGATAATAGAATCTTTTAGTGGAAAGTCAAGTGAATTTTGGAGACGGATCTAAAAGATATCCACTAGAAAATAGCAATTTCTTTAAAGAAAATTTATGACTTGAAAAATAAAAAGTTGTTAGAGAAAACTATCATAAAAGTTTGTCTATCTTGTCAGGTGGAATCCTTTAGTAGCCCTGACACATCTTATCATTCATGTACATATATCTACGACTATACATTCATTTGTGGTATGCACCTTCCCAGGTTTATGATTTGAAATTGTGCGGGAAACATTATGCACCCGAAGTCTCATGTATGTAACGGTGTCAGGTATATACTGCTCACCCACTTAGCTCATAGAAATCGAATTAGTGAGTAATATATATTTTTTGTAACACAAACTCAATACTGACAGGTGATTTAAACAATAAACTCCTAAATTTCAGATGCAGAGTAACGAATACAAATGGTAGACGTTTGTTGACTTTCGTAGATGGTACAAATCTACTAATTGATGTTACTCCGACCCATACGTCCTATTCACACAACAGTAATGATATAATAAGTTGAGTTTCAACTTATACAATATGATCCAAAAATTTTTACATTTCAACATAGGACAAGATCTTCATAGTGATCATCTACCGATCAAATCAACCAGAAGAATTTAACTATAAAAAAGCAAACTGGAATGAGAACGCACCACTCCTGGACAAAGTCTTGCCAAAAAGTATAACCCATAGTGCCGCAAACCAATCTGAAATAGATAAATATTGTTAAACAATCACTGAATGTCCTACCAAAACTGCTCAACAGACCACACCAAAACACAAACACTCAACATTAAGCTATACGTGCCAACCACACGCACAACTAATAACAATGATTAAAAAACGGCGCCAATTACGAATACAATATATGGAAAATAAGAGACCAAATAATGGAAACAAATAAATACACTCAGAAACAAAATACGAATAGAGGTGAAACTTTTAAAACAAGAACAATGGGACCAATACTGTTCCCAACTAAATGGAAAAACAGAACCAAAACAATTCTGGACACATGTAAACCGATTCACAAACGGAGAAAATACAACACGCACATACCCACCACTAGAAGTTAATGACATTAATAGCACACACACAAACAAAGACAAGGCAAAGGCCTTTAAACAACACCTACAAAACACGATCTGAACACATCACGAACCAGAACATGAATACTCATTTCTACAACGAGGAAAAACATAAATATGTACAAACCACTGTTCGCAGCAACCATAAATAACAACAGGGCAACAAACGATGATAGAGACAAATATCATACAGCACAATAGATAGCTAAAGAAATAACTTAAATAGAGGTTATACAAGCAATAACAGCCCCAGGTAAAGATGGCATACAAGCTATCTTCCTAAAAAAAAGGACTCAGAAATTAGTTGAACACCTCACAGGTATTTTTTAACTTAATTCTGGATACATCCCCGTTTCTTGGAAGCGAGCGAATGTCTTAGTGTTCCATAAAGAAGGAAAGCCAGCCGAATAGTGACCATCGACCAGCCTGACCAGCACCATAGGCAAGATAGTAGAAAGAATAATAAGTAATAGTCTCTCCACAGTTTTGGAGATAACATCTAAAGTACTCGAAGTTCAAAATGGATTCAGAAAATTCTGACAAACGACAGATCATTTAGTTAGATTAACTGAATCCGTCGTAGATAGTTTAACGAAAAAAGAATGCACTGTCGCCTGGATTCTCGAGAAAACTTTCGACACTATATGGCACAATGGTCTTAGGTTCCGCATGTCAGATATGGAACTGCCTTGCGGTATTATATCGCTGGCTTTCAAACGTTTTGAAAAACGGAAAATGTAAAATCAATGTTGAGGGAACCTTCTCGGAGTCATTCACTCCTGAGGCAGGTGTCCCTCAGGGAGGGGTGGTTAGCTGTATTCTATTCATCATGTGTGTTAACAACATGCCTCTATAGGATCCGAATCACGGATACTCTTCACAGTTCGCGGATAATGTAGCATTCTGGAAAAGTGCTCCCACACCATCAATAGCAGCCAGAAATCTACATTCTCAATTAAACAGGATAGTCGAATACTGACAAAAATATCGCATTAAAATAAATGTCCCAAAAACCAATTGGTAGTCTTCACAAAACATAAAAAAGACTCATCCGAACTATATGTATATAAACGGAGCACTTCTCCAGATTCTAACATCAGCAAAATTCTTAGGGTTAACTTACGATTCAAACACATAAATAATATTAAAACCAAAGTTTGGCAACGCACGAACTATACCAGGAGTCTAACGGGCAGGAATAATGGAACATCAGCCGATAACATAATCAAAATTTACTGAACATACATACGTCTTGTAATCGAATGTGCATGTTCCGCGTGGATAAACCTGGCACAGAAACAGATTAAAAATAAATTGCAAACAGTACAGAATTCCTTACTTACAACAGCATACAAAGTACCGAGATCAACATCCTCCACATTCATTCACAATTATGCAAACATAAAAACACTAACCGATAGACTCCTACATAGCTCGCTAAATTATTTCGCGAAAAATTGGCTCAAAAATAAATTACTCTGTGAACTAGATCGTTACTGCATACATGATGAAGATAGCCTTAAGCACTTCTCCACAATTAATATATACATTAGAAATAAACATAAATTAAGGCCACCTAATGCTAGACTTCTAACTCATCATTAGTTTTTTAGTTACCGCGACAGCATTAAAAAAAGGATATTTATGTAAAATGTTCTCGAGAAAGTGTAAACAATACATCTTGAACTGTTCGCGAAGTGTAGAACTTTGCACTAACGAATGAAAGGATAGTCTATTCAGCACGTTAATATTACTATAATTACCTACATCGACATGGCCGTGAAAGGGGTCAGAATATATGTTGCGAACTAGCAAAACTCCAATCCCTTTGTAGTAATTAAATTAATATTATATATGAAATCATCCACCATACACCGAGGGGGAGGAAGAGGTCAAATGTACCAGACGCTCCCCAAGTCTACAAAGACCTAAAGCCCGATACATACAATAGAGAGAGCAATATTTGTTACTTTTTCTTTGCTTAAGGAGTGTCACTTTGACAAAGGTTTAGAACCACTATTCATAATTAATCTAAGAAAAATCCATTAGATAATAGTTGGATAACTTCACTGAAGTTCGGTCTCAACAAGCAAGTCATTCGATGCTCTGATTGGAATATCACCTATAGCTATATATATATATAAAGACAATTATACATTTAAGTGGCACTATGAAGCTATGTTGCTAATGCATTTATTATTTGTACTAATTTATTTCTATTTGGATTCTGTTTCTACAGCGGAGAAAGCGGAAGCGGAAAAACGTATTACTCCATGTTACTATTACGTCAGTTGTTTGACGTAGCAGGTGGAGGGCCAGAAACTGACGCTTACAAACACATGGCAGCCGCTTTCACTGTGCTTCGGTCTCTGGGCAGTGCCAAAACATCGTCCAACTCAGAATCTAGTCGTATTGTAAGTGGTGACGTTATGATTAAAATTACAGTAATTAATATTGTGAATAATAAACGGACATTTAAATTACAGAGTAGTCAAAATATGAACATTTAATAATCACCGGTTGTTAACATTATAATTCTACGTTATGAATGAAAAATAAATTATGGTACTGTATGAAATGTTAGGAGGGCGTACTAACATTAAAAGTTAATTTTGCCTTTGACATGAATTTTCAGATAATTTTGCAGTTCTCACAAATGAATGTAAACTGATGTGTTCTATTGAAGAATGCTTATGTAGTGTGAACCGGATAAGCCGGACGATAGTTGTTCACCAGATTGATTATCAGTTGTGAGTGTTTTGTTGAACTTAGGAAAACCATGCGGAGAATTACATTTGTCCAACCACATGGACCATTTATACTATTTAGTGTTAAGTCGGCAATATCATTTATCTGCTAGATGTTAAATCGGCAATATCATTTATCTGCTAGATGTTAAATCGGCAATATCATTTATCTGCTAGATGTTAAATCGGCAAAATCATTTATCTGCTAGCTGTTAATTCAGAAAAATCATTTAGTTGCTAGATGTTAATTCGGCAAAATAATTTATGTGCTAGTTGTTAATTCGGAAAAATAATTTATGTGCTAGCTGTTAATTCAGAAAAATCATTTAGTTGCTAGTTCTTAATTCAGTAAAATAAATTATCTGCTAGTTGTTAATTCAGTAAAATAAATTATCTGCTAGTTGTTAATTCAGTAAAATAAATTATGCTGCTAGTTGTTAATTCGACAAAATAATTTATGTGCTAGTTGTTAATTTAGCAAAATCATTTATGTGCTAGTTGTTAATTTAGCAAAATCATTTATGTGCTAGTTGTTAAATCAGAAAAATCATCTAGTTACTAGTTGTTAATTCGGCAAAATAATTATTGTGCTAGTTGTTAATTTAGCAAAATCATTTATGTGCTAGTTTAATTCAGCAAGATCATTTATCTGTTAGTTGTTAATTCAGAAAAAAATAACTTGTATACCAGTTGTTAATTTAGCAAAATCATTTATGTGCTAGTTTAATTCAGCAAGATCATTTATCTGTTAGTTGTTAATTCAGAAAAAAATACTTGTATACCAGTTGTTAATTTAGCAAAATCGTTTGTCTTCTGGGTGTTAGTTTAGCAAAACTGTTTAGCCAACTAGAAAAAGCAATCTTTTTAATGTCAGGAACACCATGGACACTGTAAAAAACATTGTGTTATAAATTAGCACAAACATAGTTTTATTTCACAACAACACAGACTTATGTGAACTTGAAGACAATTGACCTCTGTAGTGATATAAACACACACACAAGTTTTGTGAGTTTTCTAACAATACAAATTACATATGGTTTTCAACTCGAAATGGTTTTTATTTAAATACATTGTTATGTTGTGAAGTCAAATTTTATATATACGTAGATTATATAAAATTAAACATGAAGGTTATGCATTAACCAGCACATGTATGTTCTGTTTTATTAGCCCACAATAATTGTGTTGTTTTAACACAAATTTATTTACAGTATAGTATGCTTTGTATTAGACTTAAGAAGCTACATAATTAATTTAGTTATTTTGATATTTTACGAGACCATAGAGGTAATGTTAAGTAAAGTTAGTCAAACATTAAAGTAAATTTCCTGAAGTTTTAAATATGAGTGCATATCGCATCATAGTAGTGGATACGATACGTATCTAGATACAGAAGTTTTAAATATGAGTGCATATCGCATCATAGTAGTGGATACGATACGTATCTAGATACAGAAGTTTTAAATATGAGTGCATATCGCATCATAGTAGTGGATACGATACGTATCTAGATACAGAAGTTTTATCAACGGTTTGTTACAAAAGTTTTAACAGTCTTGTCGTAATTTATTATCTATATTACTAACATTGTCTTATTTAAGTACTTCATACTTGACAGTGCTTTGTCAAGTTATCAGATTTGATCAACTAAATGGCAGCTGGTAAGAGAAGTGAAATAAAAAAGTTGTTATCTGTCTATCTATTTTGTTAATGTTAATTTGTTATGTCCCTTTGCATGTAAAGTTTTCGATAAAAGAAATGAAGACAACATGTAGTACTCAATACTCATCTTTCTTTATTGAATTATTAATTTTTAGCAAAAACTACTTTATTAGAAATTCAGATTTTTTTCTGTACAAAATACTTATTATGTTTACTGAAAGCTTGCCAAATTTCGTGAAGGTACATAAATAGTATCGGACGATGTATTGATACAATCGTATCACGGCTTCACGATACGATACGAGTATCGCCACACCTTTACGAAGGCTGACCAGATAGGAGCTCACATCCCGACTTGGTGATACTTTTCTTACCCATATGTATTACCCATTAAAGCTCGTAAGCGGTGAGTCTCTGACTTTACTTCCCCATGGGCAAGAAATCTGAAAGGATTCACAAGCCCGATAGTGACGAAGGAATAGGTGGAGCGGGGGGGGGGGATCGAACTGCAAGTTTTAAATAAAAAGGGGAAAAAACAATAATAAAGAAAAACATTAAAATAAGATTTACCAGTGTTAAAAAATTTATCTCCACGGTCAGTACGTAATGAGTAAGTCTTCAACTCTTCTCTTGGAGGCGTGTCTAGGCTAACTAATCTTCTCTTGGAGGCGTGTCTAGGCTAACTAATCTTCTCTCGGAGGCGTGTCTAGGCTAACTAAGAATAACAAATTAAAAGATAATGTATTGAAAGCACACATGTTTACCATTGAAATATAGAATTACAACAATTGAGAAATATTGACAATAGCTAAAAAATAAATGTGAGGTCCAATCCATCATTCTATTTCTCACTTGTCACTAAGTTATACCAGTTTCGGGGAATTCCACCCTTCACCTGTAACCCTGGACAAGACTAGGCTTCACATAGTGGTGGAGTGCATATGTATATGTATGGCGTATAAATAAAATGCATTTCAAAATCTTGTACGTATTTATAATAACGTTTTCCAATGATATTGTATATTTTAAAAGTGACTATTAGAAATGAAGAAACCGAGTCTGTGATAAAATCTTGATGGGAAAAAGGATATTTAAAGCGAAGATAAAGACCTGATTGAGTTATTATAACTTTTTATCATTAATGTGCCCACATTATTTATTTTAAAATTGAAGATTTGGCTGTTTTATGTGAGAATATACGAATGACCCCCGATGATGCTGTGAACTAATACATTGTTTACCCTCACCTTGTCAATCCTCATTGCTCTTTACTTATGGGCAGGGCGTGGCGTAGTGGTTAGCGTGTTGTGCTGTGAATTCAAGGGTCCATGGTGCGCATCTCGTTACTGTAAAGCGCGCTTCGCAGTTTGTAACCATGGATGTGTTATAAGAGTGACAATCGAATCCCACTATTCGCTTAAGGTAACCCACGAGCTGGTAGTGGTTGGTGTTGACTAACTGCCTTTTCTCTAGTCTATCAGATCAAAATTAGGGACGGCTAGCGGAAATAGGCCTTGTGTAACTTTACATTTGTGTTACGGAACCGACATAAGGGGCACCTAAATTTAAGTACAGCCTAGCACTACTTTTAGCCAGTAAATAAACCCGTGTTGACGTTACTCGATATTACATTTGTGTTACGGAACCGACATAAGGGGCACCTAAATTTAAGTACAGCCTAGCACTACTTTTAGCCAGTAAATAAACCCGTGTTGACGTTACTCGATGTTTCATTTGCATAACCTTTGCTGTGCGTTAAGATTGCTCATCATGAATATCATTTATCGCTTCTAATTTTAATTAGACATTGTAACTTTTTAATTTTAAAATGTTTATTATTACAAGGTCTTTTTTTCTAAACCGTTAAATTGGTGTCAAAAATAAAGTCTAGAAGGAAGAAAATTCGAAATTTAAAAACTTTGAAAAAATAAATGCGTTTTTGATGGCATGTAACTGAGGGACAAGGGAAGGACCAGGGAATAAAGAATGAAAGATAATTATTGAACGTATGTGTTTGTGAGAAAAAGTTTAATGAGTATTGGTTCCCGACTCACACCTCCCACAGGAAAAACTTACCCCAGGGCCTTTCAGGTCCTTGCCATGCCACTTCCTACTAGTCGGCGTTTTTTAATGCTCGGAATAAGTGCAATAATATTTTTGGTGAAGTGTACTCAGATTACGTTTTTGAAACTAAATATAAAATATTAGAACGTCACACCGCCCCTTTTCCTTGCTGTAAATTTCCTGAAGAAGTATAATGAGGCAGAATAGGAATTGAAATTTTCAGTTTGAACAGCAGACTGCCCGCGCATGTCCTAAACGGCCAGCTCTGAGACCCCTATGGTTCAAGTATAGCCGTCCCTAATTTTAGATCATTGATCAGAGGGAAGGAAGCCAGACAGTAGCACATATCACCACAAGGACTCTATCTAGTTTTTTTGTACCAAATAACGGGATTTTCTATCACTCTTATAACGCTCCCACAATTGAAAGTGCGGAGCATGTTCACTTGTCGAACCTTGGAACTTATAGATTTACAGCTCGATATGCTAACAACAAGGTCACACGTGTCTCAGAGAGCGAAGGATTCGACCAACTAAGCTATAGGGCTTGCAAATTCTCGTCTTTAAAATCTTATTGATATTTGAAACCTGATATCAGTTAGGACTTTCACAGGTTTTGCTAATCGGTCATTTTGGGGCTTAGGTTCCATGTATTCGTGGATTTGGTGGAATATTCGTTGGCTAAAAATATGCTTTGCGACTATTAATAATTATTAAATGAAGGTTAAGGGGTTTCTGAGTAAAACATAGGATAGGCAGGCGAAAGATGATTCGAACCTTATAGCATAGAGCTAAATTAAGGGCGCCTATTAGAGTTTGGCTAGTGGAAGGCTGACGTACAATTGTATCAAAGTGTGGCTGATGAGTTGCATGCGTACAAATCTATTTCGAAAGTATGACCGGTGAAAGAAGGGTGTAAAAATCTATTGAAACATGGCT